TTACGATGCATATCAATATAAAAGCAGTACAGAGTTGGTTCTTGAATCTAATACACATGCAACAACCATAAGGATCTAGTATATTCTAGAAAAAAAAAATGTCAATATTTATAAAGGTCTATATACATATATCTATTTTTTTAAAGTATAGAATTTATTTTTATTCGACGAGGAATGAATATTTACAGCTGTCAAGTTGTGTTCATAAGAAAATCTAACATTGCCCCCCCCCCCCCCCCCCCCCCCCCCCCCCGTTGTGTAAAAGGCATTGTTTAATTCGCAAAACAATTCAGTAACATGTAAATAATTTTGAATTCATAACATAATTTATTTTAAAAGGACATGAATGTCAATTGTAACATTTTTTTTTAAAAAAAAATTCCTTTTTAAGTACTTTACAATGTACTTTTTATTTTCCAGTATGGGGAAGAAATATTGCTGCGTTCCTGGATGCAGCAACACTTCTCAAACATTGGATGAATATGGAAATAAAATAATATTGCATCGCTTCCCTATGTCGGAGAAAAAGGCCCATATTAAGCGTCTCTGGATTCAGCGACTTCGACATGTGAGAGCAAATTTGGTTGTAAAAGACCACACACGAGTTTGCAGTGTTCATTTTGAGGGAACATTTACTGAGGAATCGATTCCCACAATTTTTCCAAGTAAACCCAAAAAGGAAACAAAATCCCGAAGACCTCTTGTAAGAAAAATTGAAAATTCATTTCAAAATGATGGTTCAGGGCAAAGTGATACTGAAAATCCACAAGATAATCCTGTGTCAATGTACAATGATGTTGCAATACAAACTGACCTCAAATATTTTTATTCAAAAGATGCGTACACAAATACAGAAGAGCATTGTGTACATGTTTCAACTGCAACCCAGACGACTGGCAGCCCTTTGTCTACTGTTAATGCTGAAGTTCAGGCAGATTTGCCTAGGATGACATATGAAGATATGAAAGATGACGATTCTAAAACAAGATTTTATACAGGTTTTGCAACTTTTCAAATTTTTTGGATGTTTTTTGCAGTGCTGAGGCAGAAACATGGTGCAGAGAAACTCAATTACTGGGAGGGAGAGACAAGGTCCATGGGTGAGAAGTCGTATCATGAACCAGGGGTTAAAAAGCCTGGCAGAAAACGTTCCTTGAGACCAGTGGATGAATTCTTGATGGTTTGCATGAGACTTCGTTTAGGGCTGCTTCAGGAACACCTTGCTGATATTTTCAGGGTGTCCGAAACGACAGTATCACGAGTAATGAACACTTGGATTAACTTCCTCTATGATCACTGCAAATCCTTAATAAAGTGGGTCTCCAGAGAGCAGATTTTGTGTAACTTACCAAAGCTTTTTAGCATGCACGCAGATACTAGAATTGTGCTTGATTGCACAGAATTTTTTATTGAAAAACCGTCCTCTTTAAAGGCACAGTGGATGACGTGGTCCGAATACAAACATTCAAACACTTTTAAAATATTGATTGGTGTGTCACCAAGTGGTATGGTAACCTTTGTGTCAAGACTGTGGGGTGGGAATGTGTCAGACAGACACATTACTCAGCACGATGGATTTCTTCCAAAACTGTCACCAGGTGATGTTGTAATGGCAGATAAAGGTTTCACAATAGAAGATTTGTTACCAGCTGATGTTGGATTGAATGTTCCACCACGAGTATCAAGTACATGCCAGATGTCAAAACATGATTTCTTTAAAACAAATAGAATAGCTTCAGCCAGAATAGTAGTTGAAATGAAGATGGAACAGATCAAAAACTACAATATTGTGAACTCAGTTTTACCAATTTCAGAAGTGCACTTATCAGAACAAATTATAGTTATCTGTACATCTTTAACTAACTTATTGCCTCCACTTCTGAAGTGACATAAATATAATTAACTAGATTTTTTTCTGGATGCCCTAACATGTATAATTATTTTTATTCCTGTTATGAGGAAATTTACTTTCCAGGAATTATTTTTTTAAATGCATGATTAAAAAAAACACATTTAAAGTATATCACATTTTGTGGTTTTCAAGGTGATGTGAATTTTGACGATTCGATGTGAAATACAAACATTCATTTGAAAATAAACTTGAAATATGTACACTTGGACCTTGAAATCATAAATGAGATGTGGATAAATAAAATAAATCACATAACCTTTTTGTTTTTATTCAATATTTTTACAGATGAATCTAAGCTCTCATGCAAATATAAAAGTTTCAGAGTGTTAACAGTTTTATGTACACATGTTCAAAATCAAATAGAATCATTCTATGCAATATTCAAATTATTAACAAATGTACATCAAATGTTATACATGTACAGTGATTTTCCTCGCTGAATTCTTCTAGTGAAAAGTTCTGGTACAACACCATATGTATAAAAAGATTTCATCTTTGGAACCATATCATTCCAGATTCCAACATCAAAAAGAATTCTTTCAACAGATATACCTTTTTTTGTATAAACAACAAAATCAACCCAGTTAAGTTCATATAATGCTAGCTGGCCTTGAACTTGGTACATATAATTATGGTTCTGTTTTAATTTAAGTTCACCATTGTTTTCAGTGCAAAAAAAATGTTTATCTTGTCCACATTTTGTCGGAGGCATATTCCTCCAAGGACTTTTTTGTTTTCCATAAGGACACTTGACTTCGACAAGTCCTGTACCACATTCTACACAAGTAACAAGTCCATCAACACTGGCCCCAAGGAATGGGTACTTAGGGTTGACATATAGTCCACAGGACTCGATCTTCACATCACCACACAAATTTAAATGTCGCTCCATATAATCACTCAAAGCAACAGATTCATTTGTTCGACCATAACTGATACTTTTTACACAATCTGGTACTACTACGTATCCACAAATTTTCTTGACTAAATTGTCTGGTTCGGACTTTACTCTTTTGACAACGTCACCCATTACTGATGCAGTAATGATATTGCATCTAGCCTTTCTCCAGTTAACATTTGAATTTTGACCTCTAGTTCCCTTTTCTAACAGTTCACTAACCTCTGTTGTTATATTCATATTGTTTACAAAAGATTTAAAATTTTCAACACATTCTTTTGATTTTAGATTTACATTGTCCCTATACATAAAATCTGGCAAAAAAATATTCAAAAAGGAATCTATATTAACATGCTCTGCTCTTAAAGTTTGATACAAGACACATTGTGGGTAAATATCTTTTAAGCCATCCAAAATATCATTCAAAAATGAGCTGCATTCACTTTGACAAGGTCCAGGATTATAAATGCCTGGGAAAGGACGAACTTTGTCTACAATATTATCTTTTTCTGTTTTTGAAAAACTAATATCTCCAACTCTTTTTGGACTTGGTTTTCTTCTCAAAGGTGTAGGTCTATTCCACACACACTGATTAGATGTACAGGAATTTTTTGTTTTTACAAGTACATACAATAATGCTCCAACATGAGCACAAAGACCTGCCTCTCCGGCTTTACAATTACATAAAGCATTTACAACAATGCCTGACTTTTTCTTTATACAAACATTCAAAGAATAATATTTAGCACTTTTTCCAAATCCAACTTGAACAGTCTGTTTCATTGATGGAAGACAAGTTGATCGCATGTAACAAAAATCACTGTTTCCTTTATTGTATTCAATTTCTCTTATGAACCCTTCATTGCACAGACGCTTTGCTTTTTTCATTTGTCTCTCGAAATTTAACCTTTCTCCAGTTACAGGATTTTTATGACATTTAAAATAAATATCAATGGCCTTATGAGAAATTTCAGGAATATCAGTAGAGTCAAGTTCTTTCCATGAATCTGTTGAAGGATGAACAGGAACAGTTTTCTCTATTTCTTCATCTGTATCTATGAAATCTTCTGATGAATCATAACCATGCCTCATGGCTTTGTAAACTCTCTTTGCCAATACCTCTTTATTCCCAGATTTTTTAAGCCTGTGATTTTCAAGCCAATTTTTTAGTTCAACAACTTTCCATGACTGAATTTCTTCTAGAGACAAGTGAGATGGTTCACCTTCATCATCAGTGCTTGAAGACATTCTGAAACATTCAATATTGTATATTAATACAGATTCAGAAAACACACAGTGCCCAAATAACTTAAAAGGGTTTCATAAAAATTGAATGTAATTAGGATCCCAAGATGTAATTTATGTAAACAATTATTGATATCATATCAATATCATATAAAGACATAATCCGACATTCCCCTGACTCTAACCCCTGCTTTTATTTTATGACATGTGCGGACAAACGTCATAAAATAAAAGCGGGGGTTAGAGTCAGAGGAATCTCGGATTAATAAAGACACCCCCTTTTTTCAGAATTAAACGCTGTTGGATGGTCACATATTCAATTATTCCGACAATATTACATTACTGTTAATATTAAACAGTTATTAAATCATAATTTCAATGTCATCTACATTCGGTTCGAACAGGGTCGATCTTAGACCTTGCAATAGCCAATTCAGTTGAATATTTAAATGCCACGCGAAAACGCTGAGCATTTATATTTTATTATTTGTATACCATTTACCACGTTTAGATAATGGTTATAAATCTTTAAATAAATTAATTATACAGATATATCGCAAATCTTACCTTGGTATGTCCTTGTCTAACGCAGAAATTGCAATTATCAGTACTGTGAGTACACAACACAAGTTGAACAACAAACGCCCCGGAAGTCAATGTGTTGGCGACATCTAGCGATTTTTCAAGAGAGATAACTCCAGAAATAAGACATTGCGGAACTCGGCCATTGTCAGTGTGAAAATTGTTATGTGTTTATTTGAATTTTTCTTTTATAAATTTTGTGAAAAGAAAGATTGTAGAATTAATACACACAACAAAAGCACAATCTGATAAAATAAGACTTCTTAGATTCGCTCTGTTTAACATTTTGCGCAAGAGTATACGGAAGGATCTATATGAGTCTAATTTTAAGAACATTAATTCGGAATAAACTAGAGGTACTGTGAGCGATGAGCTCACTAAATGATACCCCCCGCCTTCCATATGGTTATAACTGGTGAAAAAGTCCATGTTTTCCTGTGGCCGGGAAACCCAAAATATGCGTCGGATCAAAAAGTAAAATAGGAGGTGCACAATGGCAATATGTAATAAAGATTCTGTGAAAGTTGCATCAAATTTCATTCAGTGGTATGAGAGGAGTTGCGGATAAGAGATGGGTACCCCAAAGCGTAACAGACGGACGGACGGACAGACGGACGGACAGACAGACGGACGGACGGACAGACGTACAGACGGACGGAATTAACGATCACTATATACCCTCCCGCTTTTCAAGCGGGGGGTATAATAATTATTTTTATTAACTCTAAAGTAACATATGGAATTACAGTGAGATGTTGGATAAGGATGTCATTGTTTATTAAAAGCTTATATTTTACATATTTTATAAATATGTAAAAAAGAAAAAAAAAAAAAAAAAAAAAACCTGCATTCACATTTTTTTAAATTTTACAATGGTACTAGCTGAACTGGCACAACTCTTTCGAGTAAATCAATTCATAATGCATGCATTTCATTTAAATTATGTATAATTATATATATATAATATTTTCTAACAATGCATACAGCTGTGTGTATCTTGCGAAAAATCGCATAAATTAAGACATGTAAGAGTTAAAGACACCTTTATATTTTGACCTTAAAAACTAAAGTTGTTTCAACGTTAAAATCAACAGTCAACTTTTCATCTTAAAACCTTGTTTCAATTCTATAATATCAGAAAATACTCAACGTTGAAAACATGTTGAATCTTCAACGTTGTTTCAACATTGAAATATCAATAAACTTCAAACGTTGAGAATTTGTTCCAGCTTCAACGTTGTTTCAACGTTGAATATCGACAAGCATTCAACGTTGAAAATATGTTGCAGCTTCAACGTTGTTTCAACGTTAAAATATCAACGAACATCAAACGTTGAGAATATGTTGCAGCTTCAACGTTGTTTCAACGTTGAAATATCGTCGAATATTCAACGTTGAAAATATGTTGCAGCTTCAACGTTGTTTCAACGTTTAAAAAAGGTTGAGGATTCAACGTTGAAATCTCAACGTTGAAACAACGTTGAAATATAGTTGATCAACGTTGCAACCTATATTCCACCTCCTTTCAACGTTGAAACAACGTTGCGTGCCTGCTGGGAAAACCTGTTCATTTAGCATGTTATTATCAAATAGCCCAAATGACTTATTTTTTCATTATTTTTTTTTTAAATGTTTCATTTACTTGCAAATACAAGATAACCATGTGCATAACATTAACAAACGGTAGCAGTATTTGGTAGTAATAATACGAAATAAAATGTAATAAAAACAGCTGTTAAATAAAAATTAATCTTGCTACAAATTGCACAGTTTTTGTAGTATGTACTCTTCATTATTCTTCTGCTATATTGATTACTACGAGATTTAACTTTTTAGCATGCATGTATGAATACTGTATCTGACAATGCAGCATCGTGACATATCGTTACAAGTAGATCTACCTACAAATTTTGTCAATATATCTACGTTTACTGAGTTTTTTCCCTAGCAGGCCGAAATATCTCCATCATGTCACCAGGAACAACACTCGTGCATCTCGTAATAAGTGCTGCAATAAACAAACTGATGATTGTGTTTTTTCTCACCTGCATGGTTTTCCCGACGCTTCAGCTACTTTCGTTATTTCTAACCAATGAAAATTGTCCTTACTTTTCTGTTGCGTCATGCAATTTTATTGCACGCATCACTGAATTGTAGAACACACATCACAAGATTTCGAATATACATCACAAGATTATCGAACATACATCACAAGATTTCGAATATACATCACAAGATTTCGAACATACAT